TTTTTTTTTTTTTTGGTTTTTCCGAACGCGGCTATTTCCGTCTCGCGAATTTCGAAAGCCGGGAACAATAGAATTATTATTTTATTTTTTTTCTGATGAAATTAACACTTCCATTCTTTTTATTAACGCCGGCCATGAACTCTCTGCTAACTGTACAGCTGCAATATCCTATCGGCTCGCGGATCGAATGTATATATGTATGTATGTATACATATGACTAAATGGAAAAGTGTATGTGTGTTCGCATGCACTCTATTTTTTATATTCTGTGCGCGGCAGGCGTATCAAAAGCAAACAAAAGAGCCTGTCGAAACATCACACGGGCATAACTAAACGCTAGTTTTCCAACGATGCATTTCCCTCTCTTGCAGAGAGTTTCGGCCGAGCTTTTCCGCGTAGTCAATATTTATCTGTAATTGTGTAATCCGCACCGCGAGAGATGATCACTCGACAGCATATATATGTGTGTATATATATATATATATATATATATATATATATATATATATATATATATATATATATATATATATATATATTACCTCTCTCATTAGCATTTCTAATTCCCGATTAACAAAGTCGATAATCGAGTCCGATTCTACTGCTACTGGAGTGAGTCGATGGCAATAACGAGTGTAAGGGTCTCATTGTCCACGAAATAACACAACTGCATATGCATAGCGTGAGACCATTTCAACCAATGAGCATGTTTACAGATCAACATGGCAACTTTGTTCTAGATGTTCATTACTGGTCGAGGTGGTCTTGTGCTATGCATATGCAGTCACGTCTCGTTTTGCGTGCGATGGTCCTTGGAGACGCTGACTGGGCATATCGCAACGAGCATAATACCTAGAAACGAGGAGATTATTTCCTAATAACGTACTCAGGATACGTGTCCCGATAAAATCGCACATCGCTATTTTCGATACTCCCGATGCGCACAGACGAATGATATTTTTAAACCACGAAGCATAGGACGCGATGTGCCACGAGGCGTAGGTGGTATCTCGCCATTTCGGCCTGGTTCGCGAGTTCTCGCGGGAGAGCTCTCTCGCGAGCGGGTAGCTACAGCCAACTCACGCTTCCAGGCGCTCGTCGGTGTCGAAACAGTCGGCGGCGGTCGTTCCAAGTTTCGCGCTGATTTGCGCGTAAACCTCGCCGTTTATCGCGGTCCGCGGGAGCGGGGGAGGGCACAGGCAGCAACAGGGGGAGAGAGAAAGACAAAGAGAGAACGGTAGCGCGGGGATGGTTTAGTAGCTACCACGACGCTTTTATTTTACGCGCGCACACCGGTGGACGCTCTCCCACACCCGTTGCTGTCAACGTCTGTGCGCGCTCCGCCAGATTCGCCGGCAAGTTTTTCCACTTCCGCCAACCGTAAAAACCTTGCTCGTCGGCCTCTGCTCGGCTGTTTTTTTTTCTCCCCTCCTCCCCCACTCTTTCTGCCCCGCTCTCCCACTTCGCTTTTTTTTGTTTCCGCGGCCATTCAAATGCGATTGCGCTTTTACGATTTTCGGCAGCCGCGTTTCGCCAAAACGCTCGCTCGCTCGCTTGCGCGAGCGATTTCGCGTCGTCGACGGATCAGAATCCGGGCTACTAGAGCGCTCTCACGTTCGAATCGCGCGAAGGAACAATCGGCAAAAAGTATCACTCGCACTTTGAAGCAGCGAACCTTTCGCCAAAAGATAATTCGTGAGCCACAGCGACGATCTAATTCGCGACGCGGAAACATGTCCGACTGGTCTTTCGTCGAAGTTCGCTCCGTTAACGCTTCGATCTCGGCGATTAAAGCTTCCTGTCGTTCGAATCGCGTCAGGAAATAATTCATGAAGAGTATCAAGTACGATTCGTCGTCGAAAGGGAACTTTCCGCAAAACATCTGTCGTATCTCCAGAAACACAGCTACCGTGCGATGCTGCTTCGCGACACTAATGACAGATACCCGCCATACCGTCCGTCGAAGGTTGCATTATTCCTCATCGTTTATCTTCGAATCAATACCTCGGTCCCGGTTGCTAAGTGCGCTTTCTCGACGAGATCTTTCGTTCGAACTATTGCTCAATATAAGTTAAAAGAGAACGTTTTTTTTTTCTAACTTTGACATTCTCTGATAGGCAAACTAAGATCTATACAGAAGAATGAATATTATCATATGTTTCATAAAATTTTTCCTATCAAAAGAACTGAAGGAGGAATAGGATAGCTGTGAAATCAAAGTCGCTCTGGTTATGTCTGATTCATTATCAGTTACTTCAACCCACATTCTCACGCGGCTGAATGTTCAGACGAATGTTCCCGACCGCGGTAACAAAGACATTATTTCTCGTCAGCGAGTTTTCCGTCTGATGTCCCCATTCACGCAGTTGCACGAACTGAAATCTTTCTTCCCGTTTGAACTCTCGAATCCTCGATTACGAATGTGCGTTTCCCGATGGTACCGGCACCATCGGCGTTTCGCTTAGTGTCGCGCGCTCCAACCGCCCCCACAAATCACCAATGAATCTTGCCCCTTTCGTCTAGCCTCTCCTTACCCTCGCTCCGCCATTACGACAACGATCGCGCCGAAGGGCATGATAATTAAGGTTTACGATTAGAGTTAATAATTCCAACACGTGACCCGAGAGCCCCTCCGGCCTCCCGGCGTCCTCTTGCTTCCTTCTCCTCTCCCGCCTGCGGCATCCCCCTCGCTTTTAATAGCCCCGCGATATTGGTTGTCGTGCCGCGCTGCCGGCGTTGTTTGAGAGTCGAAGGGGGAGGGGGGGGCCGCCAGGGGACAGGAGGGCGGCTCAAGAGTTTCCAAATGTGGTCGCGCCGCGCGAATGGGGGTGGAACAGTAGTGAATGCGTGAACCACGGGTGTGTGTGTGTGTGTGTACATATATATACACAGGGTGTCCGATAATTCGTGTCAAAGCCGCGGTGTACAGATAGATTAGTCAAAATAAAGAAAAAGTTCCTCTACCATTTTGCAAAGAACACGTAAAATTTTGAGTTATTCATTAAAGAAGATTGACGGACTGTAACGCACCAATGTCCTTTAATTAATAATTAAAAACTTATGTGATTATTCGCAAAATGATAGAAAATTTTTTTGTTCAGTTTGACATAATCTACAACACACACGACGGCAGACGTCTCACTATCACTGAGAAAAAATATTTGAAAATTTATTTATGAGATACGAAGTTGATTTCGGTGAAGTAAAGCTTACTTCTATGAGATAAAGTTGGTTTCCGTGAAATAAACCTTTGTCCCACAAATAATCGTGCAAGGACTTTTTTCACAGTGCACCACTCATCTGCCGTATCGCACATGATTATTCGCTGTCAATCTTCTTCGATCAATAACTCAAAATTTTATGTGATTCTCCGAGAAATGGCGTCGAAATTTTTTCCTCGTTTGTCTGGTTCATCTGTGTGTACACCGCGGTTCCGACGCGAGTTACCGGACACCCTGTATATACAATATAGAACGCGCTCTCGAGAGAAGGGGAGCGAGATAAAACAATCGACCGCTGTAATAAAGCAATCCTCTATCGTAATGCCTGGAGGCGCGCTTTCGTACGCTCGCGGAAAGACCGGATAGAGTATGCGGCACAGTCTGTTTGTTTGCTCGACGCACGGGACGATTTTCCGTCCTCCGGCAACGCGCGCATCCAGAGATTAAAGCGTTCCCTCCTCCCTCGCTCGCCCGGAAATGAATTTAAGATCGCGGGCATTTAACGAGTCGCCGGACGAATGAGCGAACGGACGCGTTACTTTGTCGGGGTCGCGTTGGGACCACGTGCTTCGCCGGATCGTTGTGTACGTTTACCCCGAGAGGACTCGGTATCGCGTTCTTTGATCTCGCGGGCTGATTTTTCGAGGTCGTTATGATGAGCGGGCAATTGAAGTTGAGCCCTTGTTAGGACGAAGTAAGAAATTTCAGTCGGACGAGGAAATTCAAGTCGACTCGCGCGAAAGCACGAAACGTCGTGGCGGTGGAAACAAGGTAATTACCCTGCAAGGTAATCGAATCGAATCGATCGTAAGCGGATATCTTAGAAGATGTGGCATACAGTTTCAGAGAGAAATTTCGTGCTGTTTAAGATGCTTCGTGTAATTGTGCGTTTTAATTTTTCCAAGTTTCAGAAGAGGGTTGGGGTTAAAAAATTCGTACACACGAGGGTGAAGAGTAGCATACGCCATAAAAATATTCTTATGCAATATTATTAAAGTTACTTGACCTATTTCACACGATTTCGAGAACAGTTTTGAATTCGCTCGCAATTAATATGGTCGTGCTTTTCTCAGTGAATTGTATCAAGCCCTGAATATGTCTCAGTGTTTAAATGAGCGAGAAAATATCTTGAATAATACGTATCTCTTACTTCTAGTCGCTCTATGACATACCTAAAATACCGTAAAAATCAGTGCAAAACGCTGCCACGTGTTTCCACGTGGTTCCTAAAAACACGGCTTGGGGAGCGCGGTTGGAAAGGCCAAAAGATCGTCTCATTAGGCTAACATTGAAAGTAATCTCCTTGTCGCGCTCATTATAACGAGAGAAAAACGTCGGATTTGCCGACGACGCGCGCTCGCATTCTCTCTCGCGTATATCACCGTGTTCGCGACGGGAATAGACGACGACGGGCGTCTGTGCGTCTGGCGCGCTGCTTTCGGAGCGGCAAACCAATAATGCGACAACAACAGCTGCTCATTAATGAGCGACACCTCAAAGCGGCCTCGTGGGAAAGCACGGGTGTGTGCGCGAGGCGCGCGCGCGCAAGCTTACCTTGTGGCGAGATCCCGATGCACGAAGTCCATTTCCTCAAGATACTTCATGCCGGATGCTATTTGCGTGGCCATGTAAACCAATGTGCCGAAACTGCAACACGAAGAACCGGCTCGGTTACGCCGTGAAGTTTACTCGCGGAAACTTGCCCGTGTGTGCGCGCACACACGGACGGGGCGTTCGCCGCGACAACGCCACAAACGTCGGGCATTCTAACTTCATCGTGTTCGCACAGACAGAGAAATAAGGAGGGAAAGACGGAGAGGAGGGAGGAAAAGAGAAAGCAAAATTTTTTACATAAACGTGAAATGGGATGTTTTGGTCGGTTTTAACGAGATTAACTGAAATAGTATTTAACTTTAACAAATAAAAACCACTGAATTAAATAAAACTAAATTATTATTATTATCATGATGATTAATTAATTTTAATTAATTTTTTAATTAATTTTTTAATAAGTTATTTATTAATTTTGTAATTTCTTAAAAATTGTAATTATTAACTTTTTTAATTATTGTCCTAATTATTGTCCTTGAAATAACAAATATTGTGACCCTCCGCACATGTATTGGAATTGTCTGAAAAAAAATTTCGAGATCTAACTTCTTTGTGCCTGATTTCAAAGAAGAAAAGCAAAAGAGACCAGTGGAGTTTTTTATCTGGGCGAATTATCAGACTCTCTCGCGCCCGCTTGATCGCGCGCTGCACTTCCGCTACGGGTAAATTGAATTTGAAAATCGGCCCCCGGATCGCGCGCGTTCGCGCTCCCGTGTCCGTCGCGGAGAAAGTGGGTACTACGTTTTTACTATTTACATTGCCGGGTGCACACATACCCGGCGAACCGTTTGCGCCGGAACGACCGCGACCTGTACCCGGGTATTTCCGCGGGAGATACACCGATATAGAGTCGTTTCGATGCGCGGCTGTGTCGTTTCTCCGGACTTAACGTCGTTACGACGCAAATGCACGTCATATATGCCGGAACGAGCGGTAATACGTAAAAAGGCTCGCCGCGACGAAGAGATGCTCCCCCGCCCAAACTGTTTCCGGTCGTTTAATCCTCTGGAAGAGCATTAAAAAATTGCTCGACCGACATCTCGCGTCAGTCCGCGCGTTATTCGACATTCGAAGGAGAAAGAGATAAAAACAATGTGATTTGTTTGAATCGCGCGGATTCAGCTCTTCGCGTGGAAATTCCGCAAGATTTTCTCAGATACAGCATATACGAGTATTTGGAATACCCAAGTTTGTCCTAAGGTTTATCTCACTGCGATATGGGGGGATCTCAACATAGCTTCTCAAACATAGCTTCTTGAGAACACGAAACTACTATGAGAACTTGCGCTTTTTTCAATCAACAACGTCGACTTTTATGATGTCAGGGAATCCCACATTTTTATACCAACTATTGCATTCAGTAGGATAAAAGGTAAAGAAAATATAACGTTTTTAAAACTGTTGGAATATTTTGCTGAGTAATAAAATTATTTAGAAAGTTGATACATGTCTTATTCAATTCTAATCTGAAATGAAGTAAGAACATAGAAAAAACTTGGGATTTCTTCCTTAGAATTTTATGTTTGAAACATTACTAATAAAATCCTAAGAAATTTCCCCTACACTGAGAGAAAAATAACAAATATTTATTTTCTCTTGGTGGTACTAATAACATATTTACACAAGTCTTAATTTTTTTTTTTTAAATAGAACAAATATAATTGCTTTCATCAAAAGTTAAGGTTTCCTTAAGGCTTTAAGAAAATGTACATTTTGTTATTTGAAAAATGTTTTATGTTAGCTAAATAAAAAAATATTTTATTTTATAAGCAAATATGTTATCAGTACCTACCGAATAAATATTTACTATTTCTTAGATATTCTTTCTCTCAGTGTATACGGGGTCATCTCTTGTGTACGAAAGAAAGATAGAAAAAATTAAAAAAAATCACGACGAGTGGAGTTTCGATGGCAGCGAGGACACTAATATCATGGCGTGTAAAAATTTTCCGGACGACTCAGCGTCGCGGATCTTAAAGCCTCATTTGCGACGTCGGCGAAACGCGACTCTGTTACCGTTGAAAGAAAGAGAACAAGAAAAAGAGAACAGGGAGCGACCGTGTGTGCACGGAAAGAATTTTATAGCAAACGCTATCATGGAAAATTTTTTGTAATTAAGATTTTTGGCCTCGCATTGTCTATCTCTTTTTAGTAATGTCAGAAGCGAGAAAATGCATGCTAAAAATTCTTGTGAAATATGTTGAAATAAAAATATATATCCATAAAGTAACAATTGCAATCGATTAAACAAATTTGTAAGATATTCCGTGCACTCCCCTTTTTCTCTAATCAATCATTTATTCTATATTAAATCATACCAATTCCAGGACTACCAGCGATGTCCAGAGGAAAAAAAGGGAAAAAGTGCTTTTTCACAAAAAAAAAGTAATAAAAAAGTGACCATAATTAAAATACACGGTAGTTAGTATTGTTAAAATTGATTTATACTTTGAACGAATTCAAATTTATTTCAATATGAAGGAAAATCTTCAACATAACTTATTTTTCACATTTCATCACATTTAGGTATCATATTTAACCCTTTTCTGCATGATCGTACTCTCAGAGTACCACCTATTTCTAAGAAATTTTTTTAATTTTTCCAATATTTAATACTCAACTTCTCTACTTTTTTTTTGTAATTTTACCTTAGTAATATGTTCAGGAGTATTGGGCAAGGTGGGATTTTTCTTTATTGTCTGTCAATTTGTTTATATAAATAAACAAAGTTAACCTTTTCAGACACATATTTTTCTATCTATCGGTTTTTCATGAAAATTGGTATACAGGGGTTTTTTAGGTCGCTGATTACGAATTCCTCGGTAGATTTTTATAATTCTTTTTCAAAGTAGCGGATTCAATATGGCGGCTCACAAGTTTGGATGTTTTTCATCGATTTTTTATGAATATTGGTATACGGCGGTTTTTCGCGACAGAAACGTTTCGTCTGAACAAGCTCTTAGATGCGCAACTCAGGCCAATCGCGCGGTTTGCGGCGGCAGCGACGGACGGTCACGCAGCCTTTTCGAAATAAAAAACTGCGAAAAGATAATGGAAAAAGGACGGAACAAATAATGGAGTTGACGTGCATATTTTTAACATGTATGTTACATGTATGACTTTTAGCTGAGAGAGACGCACCTGTATGTAAATTATTAAAAATATATTTTCAGCTTATGAATGACAAAAAAAAAAGGAAAAAGTGACAAAATTTGGAAAAGGTGACTAAAAGTGACCTTTTGAAAAAAAAAAGGGATAAAAAAGGAAAAAGTGACTCGCTGGCAGCCCTGCAATTCTATAATAAATATCGATAAATTAATCTGAATAGAAGTAGGTGAAGAAATAGGTTATGAAGATGAATTGTATGTCACATTAATTTACGACAAATTATTGATTATGCAAAAAGGGAGTGCGGAATATCTTACAAATTTGTTTAATTGATTGTAAGTGTTACTTTATGGATGTATATTTTTATTTTAACGTATTTCGCAAGAATTTTTAGCATGCATTTTCTCGCTTCTGACGTTATTAAAAAGAGATAGACAATGCGAGGGGCTAGGAGCCTTAAGGAGTAAATTGGCATTCTGAAGTAATTTGTTATCCTCTCGTTTCATGTGTGTATTTATAACTATAATCATATAAAGAAATAATTGCTATAAATTATGGTGAAAACAATTGGTCAATTACATTATAATTTTAGTGATGATAATCTTATATATATATATATATATATATATATATATATATATATATATATATATATATATTATCAGAAAAAAAATATGATTTAGATATGCCCAATTTGGCAGCAACCATATTTTTTGGTTGTTTCAACATGAAGATAGTAGTAGTAACACATGCATATAGCATTATTATAACTAACAATTATGATACAATTGCCTAAAAAATACTTGACTATGATTTGTAGTAACTATTCCTCTATATGATTATAGTTACAAATATCATATATTTTTCTCTTACTGTAGGAACTGAAATGTGCTATTATAAAAAAGATTTGCTGTGCTTTTTGATATTATAATTTTACAGTCAGTTTCATTCTGCACTACTAGAAACTAGAAATTGGCAAGAATTTATATGACACACACCATCTATTCTCTCCGTGTGCGGAAAGCACCAGGCCGTTCTGTCGCTCTTGGATATTGGGATTCGCTGGCGCGACGAACTACCGCGACCGTGACTGCTGTCGTTGGAACGACGCGAGATGAATGATGACGATTTCGTTTATGAACGACAGTACATGTGTCGGCGATTTAATGAAGCACTTCGGTTACATTGCCGCCGCGGCAGTGCGCGGCTGTTAAGCGCGAGTTACTCGAGTACGCCATGCGCGCGATTAGCGTTACGGTTCTTCCTACAAATTACACCGGAACTGCGCGAGTATGCGGGATTGGTCCTCGCGATTAACCCTCTCTCACACTACGCTGGGAAGAAATAGAAATCTCTCCTCTATAAGTTGAACCGTTCAACTTCACGTTTCGCAGATCTTTTAATTTTGATATCGTGGTGATCGTGTTGTGCTTTCGAAAAGATTGAAGTTTAAAAAATTGGGTAATTTAGAAAGTTGAGTAACTTTAATGAAAGCTGGTCAGAGTTCGATTTCTGAAAGACTCATGTCCCAAAGGGGAATACAAGTTTTGCTATTGATTTTATATTAACTAAGATTAATTGTGTGCGCGTTGCTAATATCGTTGCTAATATCGTTGCTTGCATTGAGAGAAGAATTATTTAAGAAATGAAGAATTAATTTAACAAATATTTATTTGGTGGATACTGATAACATATATTTACTTATATTCAAATAAAATATTTTTCGAGTAAGAAAATATAGTTCTTTAAAGCTTTAGCTTTTCATGAAATTGTTTATTTTATTGAAACAAAAAAAATTTAGATTTTACCCTAGAATTCTAAATATAAAAAATTAAACTCTAAACATGAAGGAAATTCTACACAGTGCATTTTTATTTGTTTATAACGTCCAGAAAAGTGATTGAAATTTAATCCTCGGTGAATTCTCGGTTTTAATCGGTGTAAAAAACATTGAGTGATATGAATCTATTAATGTTTTAGCGATTCAATAAATTTGGGAAAAGTTATATTGAAAAAATACAAAAAACATATTTTTGAGAACGGAAGCGTTTAAAAAGTTGGTCTGGATGAATTTTACCCATCTAAAAAGTTCTAGCGTTAAGTAAATATATTATTAGGAGCCACCAAATATTTTTTACTTTTTAAATATTTCTTCTCTCAATATAAGCAATTATAAGTTATCATTTAGGAAATAAATAAAAAAACTTTTTTCAATAAATTATTTTACGAAATTTCACGTTTCTTTTAATAACAATAAGTTATCAGTGAGTGAATATATCAATTTTTTTTATGAATTGCTGTAATGAAATATTTATATAGTATGTAGTTATTAGTAAATAATTATAATATAATCATAATAAATAATTATAATATAATATAGTAAATTAGTATTGTAATTTGTGTGTGTTAAGAAAAGTTGATTTTTTTGTTAATAAAAAAGCTAATTTACTATTGCTCAGACAAAAATATTAGTAATTACTGTATTAATAAAAATTTGTTTCAATAAATTACTGTAGCACTCTGTTATAATGTAGCAATTTTTATTAATATAGTAATTACTAATATTCTTGTCTGAGCAATAGTAAATTAGCTTTTTTATTAGCAAAAAAATCAACTTTTCTTAACACACACAAATTACAATACTAATTTACTATATTATATTATAATTATTTATTATGATTATATTATAATTATTTACTAATAACTACATACTATATAAATATTTTATTACAACAATTCATAAAAAAAAATTGATATATTCACTCACTGATAACTTATTGTTATTAAAAGACACGTGAAATCTCGTTAAGAAGAGATTATCCGCCGGGCAAAATTAACATCTCGCGAGGTATGCGATTCCGCGACCACGGAAGCGTACGATAAAAACGGTACGAGAAACTGTCACTCCCTTTCTCTCTTTATCCCTCAGCACTGTCGCGATCGGCGAGACATACTCGCGCGAATTATTGAACAGGCATCAATATTTTCCGCAGCACTCGATGAAAACAAAGCGGCGCGATCTCCGACGGCCGTCGCCGCTGCTTCATCTCGCGCGGAAGCTGAAAACGATAGCGCGGGAAAACACGCTCCGCCGACACCTGTCACGAGCACCGATCATCCTCTCCGTCGCTCACCTCTCATTTTCAGCCGATTTCTCGTATTTCGAGTACTTTCCGCGGCCGGTAGTATAGTCCCTGGTCATCGCGCGCCAGGTTTTCACGCGTCCTCCGGACGTGATTGGAACTGACGTTTTCCTCCGCGCTTGGCGACAGAATAAAACCGGAAAAAAATCGCTAGCGCGAGCGAGATCCGCGGGCGTTCAAACCGGCAGGTGGATTTCCTCCCCCCCTCCCTCTCGCCCCTTCCCGTTATCGGCCTCCCCGCCGCGTTTTGTCGGGAGAGCGTCCAACCTGTCGCGCACTTATCATAATCCATAAACCGATCGTTCCATCAAAATTCGCCATTCGACGCGATTCCGCGATACGCGAGAAAATATTAATGGCTTCTCTCCTCTGTCTTTCTCTCTCACGCGCAACCGACGCGGAAATTGTATTATCCGCAGGCGTACACACACAGAGATTTGCATGCGCGAACTCGCGGTGACGTTGACGTTTCTGCATTTCTTAGGACGCGAATCGACCGAGTCCCTGACGTTTTAATACACTGCGAAATGATCGACCGCGGACTTCGAGCGTCAGTTAATCGGGTGGATTTTGTTCTGAATAATTTCAAGACGAATGTGTGTGTGTGTGTGTGTATGTTGAGATAATGAACACACGTGGTTGAGGGAAGGGCGCGAAATCTGAGCCACGTCGAAATCCGGTTTATTGATTTTATGCCAAAACGGTGACGATCGCATAATTGTGTAATATCTATTACGTATGATGTGTTATTTACTCGATGTCTCGCAACGTGCCGTTCGCCGATGCGCGTTAATACGCGCCATCGATAATACATACACGGGCATACACATATGTCGTACACATATATACACACCACACACACACACACACACACACACACACACACACACACACACACACACACACACACACATACGTATACATACCTATACATACCTCTATGTCGCTTTTAAAACGCGATACTAATGTTACAAATTATTCCGCGCCGTGATATCAAATTTGTGCTCATTAAATTGTGTTAATTATTCGAATAACGAGCGCTTCCGCGCGGTACATGTGCATTTTTCGTCGGTGCGCTCCTGCTCGCGAGTGAGGACGCGTGGATCGAATTCGCGAAACGAGAGATCCGCTGAGAAGTTCACTTCTGGTCAATAACTACTGGTCGCTCGCGCGAGCGTGTCAGTAGCGGAGAACGACTTCTCGAGGGGCAGGAAGGGTTAACAGAGTGTCAACGACACGTTGCACACACCGAGACATTTTCTCCGTTCCAGTGGAGTATCAGCCAGCTTCGATCGTCGCGACTCTTACTGACCGAAAGTTAACTCTAAGTGGTTGAATACATTGATCCACCAGGAAAAAAACTTTCTGGTCACGTGTGTAATTGTACTAAAGAAATAATTCCCGAATAAATGAATAAATAGATAAATTCACCTTGAATAAAAGGATCTCTTCTGCGACGTTTTTGATAAAGAAAAATTATCGCGTCTCTACATTCGAGGGAAAGTTATTTTCAAATTGCTAAGAGAATCTGTCGGTGAAATTAAGATCGCGAGTTTTGGATGTGTATTCATGGTCTCACAAGTATTTTCTGTCGCTAAAGTCGCGTATATCAGTAGAATTAGAAGAAAAAAAAAGGAGGAGGAGGAAAAATAAGGTCTCGTGTGCTCTCGCGAAAGTACGACGCGTACCTACCTGAGGGTCTTGGCCGTGTGCATGCTCGACGTCTCGGCGATGTGACTCTGCAGGTATTGATTCAAATCCCCGTACTCGCCGTTTTCCAATACGATGCACATGGGATCGTCCTCGAGGCTGGCACCGAGTAGCCGCGCGACGTTTCGATCGGCGATTCGTACCAGCCTCTTCGCCTCCTGTTGAAATTCTATCCTGGAAAACACACACGGAGCGTCCGGATGTAATATCTTTATGGGCCGCTCTCGCGGCATCAAGGCCACGACTATTGAATACGGATGCGGATATATATGCCGGAAGTAATGCGGGTATTCTATCTGTCTGTCTATTTCTTTCTCTCTCTTTCTCTCTTTTCGTGTCGCTCCGCTTGTCTCACGGAAGTTCGTCGGTCTCTCACGGCGACGGAGAGAGCGGAAAAAAGAGGAATGACTCTCGCCTTCTTTCTCTCTCCCTCTTGCCCCGTCTTCCACCTTCTTTCTCGGGGCGGCGCGAGAACGCGAAAGGCTAAGGTGAGGTAAGGAGAAACCGGCAGGGAGAGTCACGAATAACAGCTAAGTGCCGCGACTATTGCGCCGAGAGGCGTCTGAGTGAATTCCGGCGAAGATGCAGAGAGAAGGAGTGAAGTAGAGAAAGAGAGAGAGAGGGAGAGGGAGCAGTACGCGCGATGGTTTATGGATTCGATGAGGGTTCGACGCGGAGGGGTGCGCGTCACCATAAAAATTCTAATCCATGACTTGATGCGCCCTCTGAATTTTTGACGAGAGCCGCGTGCGCGAAAGACAGTCACCTTCTCCTGCACCATGAATCATTACCGGGCAAATGTACAAGCGGTGTACCGCTAATGGATCGATTTATTATTTCGCGGCCGAATAATCGATCTCCCGCCGCAGAAAAGCAACTGCTCCGTAAATATTATCGTAAATATGTATCGAGCAAGGATGGAGAGAGAGAGAGAGGGACGTGATATATAATATCCTCCCGACGGGATTATTATTTTTTTAACGGCGTCGGATTTAAGATGAAGATGGGTGGGGATGGATAAAAGCGTTTATTAGACAGTTGTATAGAACATGTTTAAGAACGTTTACGTAAATCGTGTCTAGCGATAATGAGAAAAACTTCGTGCCTGATTTTGGTTAACAGATGCTGTGATCTTTTTAGAAACATCGATAATCTATACGTCGACCGATCGAATTCTTGACTCGATCAGTGACGGAAATATTCGCAATAATAAAACTAGCCAAAAGTGCTAATGACGGAAATATCATGACGGAACATTTGAAAAAGACACACCGAAGTAATTAGTTACTATATTTTCTTGGTTTTGGGATCACTGAATTCGAATCTGAGCTCAAAATTACCAAATTCAATATGGCGGACCGAATATTCAAAAAATCATTCGATTTGCATAAGAATTGAAATTTAAAAGTTTTTGAAACCGCTGATTTCAAATTCAAAATAGAAATTCATGAATTCAAAATGGCAAATTCAATACGATGGGAAAAAATTCAAAACATGATTCAATTTGTATAAAAATTGATTTTCAGGGTTTTTTATTCTTTCACATTTTTTGCCGCCATATTCGTCATTCTTCCAAACAATTTAATTTTAAAATCGAAAACAATAACAATAATTTCTAAAAACCCTCAAAATTTTATGCGAATTAAACGATTTTTTGGATTTTTGGTTCACTATATTGAATCAACCGTTTTTAATTTCGAAATTTTGACTTCAGATTTAGATTCAACCCTTTGAAAGTAATCATTTTATAATTTTATTAATATTTTTGTCAAAAGCAATTTCAGTAAAAATTGTAAGCATTTTTTCATTCAACAGTCAAGGGGTTAAAGGTCGCAACATTTTCCCTCAATAAGTTTTGTAACGCATCATATATCTAATTGTTTTTTAGTCATTTTCAGGAGATAAACTTTTCAGTTGGATATGGAATGCATTGCAAAATTCATCAAGGAAAAACGTTGCAACCCTCAGTCAGCCGACTGTACGTCGTACGTACGTTTAGAGACGTTCAGTTTTTTTTTTAATTGAAAAACATTGTCAACAAAAATATAAAAAAAATTATTGCGAATGAATTTGCTATAAAATTATAGACGAGAAATAGAAATTTCGTTGTTAATAGATTAACAGAGATGCCTCTTGAATAATTTCCTTCGAACTTCGATAAATTCATTCCTAAAGAGCAGGTTAAATTCATGCCGTCCAAATTTGGAAAAATCGGTTTATTTAGTTCACAAATAATTTACATTTTCACCATATCGAAGGGAAATTAAATTTGGTGTCATTAAATGAGAAAGAGAGAGAAAGAAGAAGTGGAAGCGAGGGAGATAAAAACGCGTGCGAGTCGAGAATTCCATCGACATTCGGGTGTGCATTTAACAGAGCGCATGCATACGCGGGCATTAATTTTTTAGAGAAAGAGAGAAAAAACGAGCAAGAGAGAGAGAGAGAGAGAGATCGCAAAGTGGCGGAATGCATTTCTATTCGCGCAATACGCTGCGATCACGATCACGCGAAAATGGGCGAACGACGTGTCGAATGATCGAAGTGTCAAAGCAGAAGGAGATATCCATTCCTCGTGGCATCGCGACAAGAAATTCTATCGTCGGACGACGGAGATGTAACACGATCGAGGAGCAAAAATCTATCGGCGAGAGCAGGTCGTCGGATCGACGGACTTTTCCGGAATGCTGCTGCCTCCGTCGTCGTCGTCGTCGTCGTCGTCGTCGTCAGCGTTGCTGTTGCTGTTGTTTGCAGCCGGTGGAAAGTCGTAGATAAAAAAGGATAAAGGCGCTGCGACGAGGACGATTGCATGCTCCGACACGAGCCACGATGACGACGACGACGACGACGACGACGACGACGACGACGAGGACGAGGAAGAGGACGACGGCACGAGTTGCGCGCTTTTCCCAGCCGGCGAAATGTGTTTTGTCGACGACGCCATCCGTGATCCTGTCTGCGGGGATCATCCTTTCGCCGTCGCGACGACGACAACACGCGCCGTCGGACCGTTGAATCCGCCGCGACACGCTCCGCCGCCCGTTTCCATCTCTATCGGCCTATTCCGCGCGAGAATCGCAATCGTCCCGACGAACAAAACACCGCTACAAACGTCGCGCCGTCGGGGAAACGCAATAAAAGGAAGTCTTTCATCGACTCCATGTATATATCGCGTTTTCTCTCTTTCTCTCTCTCTCGCGCGCACGCTCTCGTGGGCGCGGTTTGACGAGGGTTCGACGACGAAGCGAGTCGCGCGACTGCACCCGCTCGGATCGGTTTTTGATACTCCTCCGGCCGAAATGGGTCGCTCGTGTAAAAACTCTCTCTCTCTCTCTCTCTCTTGCTCCCGCTGGTCAAGAGAGACAGGGAAATGAAACGAAACGAGTTGTCGGAACAGTAACGCGCGCTCCGGGGTGTGCGCGCGCGCACCGGAATTACGTCACGGACGCGTGTGTTAATTGCGTATTACGCGTAACGCGCGCAATTACACGTAACGCAAGGGACATTACGGCACGCTCGCGCCGCAATCTGAACTTTTTAATTATTTCCACGATGTGTTATACGGCGGCGGATAATTATTTTCCAGCCGCGTAACATTATTCGACGGAATTAAACGTATCGAGCGGCGTGTTGTGCGGTATCGCCGCGCGCGATCGCTATAATTACACCTTTTTCGAGCATTTCCTCGGAAAAGCTCGCCCGGGACGCGTTTCTCTCTTTTTCTCTCTCTCCCCCTCTCTCCCTCTCTCTGTCGCAAGTGGGTCGCTAGTGGATTTAGGGAATTGGCGGGCGAGATTTCGCGAATTAAACTTTCGATATGCGCGAGCAATATTCACGGGTGTAAACAGAATTATTGACAAATATTTCGCACGGCCGAGCGGACAAATTGCGCGCGCCGCGGGAAAGACGCTTTGAGAGCGACCGGAAGTTTGGTGTTTTTGAAGGCAGCGAGCGCGAGCGAGCGGCAAATAAAGAGAGAAATACAGTGATGGGGAAAGAGAGGATGTATGGTAGGGAGGGAGGGAGGGAAGGGGAAGGAGACAGAGGGAACTCGCTGGCTTTATGAAAAATTATATTGACGCGGGCGAACGAGCCATTCGATTACATGCCAATCATCGATCGCTTAAAGCCCTTCCGCATTATTCGCCCGCGTCTACTTAATGTGCCTAGCGTGTCATTACATTCGAAATCACTTTGCGTCGCTTCATCGAATTACGCCGTTAACGCGCGTGCGCGCGTCTCTCTTCCAGCCGAATAATTTTCTATCTCGCGTTCGGAATATCTCTTCTTTCGCCATCATTTCTCGCGGGACCGCATCAGAGTTCATCCCGCAAGGTCCAAACTCATACGGGGAAATTTGACGCGCGTTTATGCAGTGCGTTTATGTAGTGAGTGCACGCATGCATCCTGCGGTGGTCCTGGCGCCACCACGGAGTCGAGATACGAAGTGATTGCAAGTAATCAGCGTGCCGTTCCAGTTTCTAATAGTAACTCCGGCGTATCGATTACGGACGCGGCGATATCGTGTAATCATGTTACATTGACATGGAGAGAGTGGAAATAGAAGCACAGCTTCCCTCCATCGCGCGACGAAAGATAATATTTCGAGCTATTTGGTCAGTTACGGTCGCTTGCAGTCGTAGTTGTTTATAGCCGTCGATTATGGTCGTCGATTATGGTCGCCTGCCGCGACTTGAAATGAAACCATTCGGATGACTGATCGCGATCTCTTCTTCTCGCGCGAACTCGTGAAAAGTGAAAATGTTCTAACTTGAAAGCATACAAGGAGGGAGAAAAGTTCAGTTGGATCGAGCGAATTTCTGCTGAAAAATATGAACGAACCAGAGATTCCGCTTGGAGTTATCAGAATTCGGGATTCAAGTTGACAAGATTCTTGGTTAACTTCAAACGGAATTTTCTGGCTCGTTTACAGCTCAGCAGAAATTGTGTGTGTGGTTAATTCGATCAAACTTTTTTTCCCGTATATGGAAACATTCCGATTACATGGAGATTTTAGTTCGGGTAACTGGATGGAGATCGGACGAAAAATTCGCCGACGAGAAATAATAACTCTGTTACCGCGACTGAAAACATTCGTCTGAACAGTCAGCTGCATTAAAAACTCGCTTGAGATAACCGAGAGCAATTGGATGAGTGGAAACCTCCTGCAGGCATCTTTCTGTTTCCACAAGCGAGATTTTCATCTAATCTTTGGCTGATAGAAAATTCACTTTTAACGAAGTTGTTTTTAGAAATTTGTTTTGTTTAGAAATTTATCCTGTGATTTTGATCAGATTGATCCCAATCAGTTATTTGATTTGTAAGAGGTATTCAATTATTAATGGCTTTTCTCTACTTATAACTGGGATCAAAACAACCTGATCAAAACAATAGGATACATTTCTAATTCACCTTTCACGAGTTCGCACTAGAGAAAAAGATTCATGACTGTCTCTCAGAAGTGGAAAAATAGAAGAGTAAATCTTTATTACATAATAAAGTAATATCCAGAGGGTATTTATAGTCAATTATAGTCACTCAGAGCCATTCTAGTCGGTTATAGCTGCTCATTAACAGCCGATTACAGTCGATTACGGTCGTTCCGCGAACGAGAACGTTTCGAAGAGCCTCTGAATTATTCCGCGACGTGTTCGCTCGTTTGTTCGCCCGCCCGCCCGCATTTTTATCTCAACTCTAGAAAATTTATGCACACACGACGCTTACCTAATAGCATCGGAGGACCCCGGTCTTAAGGATTTAACAAGCACCAGGTCGCTGGAGATATTCTTGAAGATCTCCTCGTATCCGGGAAACCTGTCGACCTCGCAGATGTGAACATCGCCGAAGTATCCGCATCCGAGATTTTCAACGATGCTGAGCTTCTCCCGCGGAAAGTCGAAGATACACTCGGGGATCTCTTCCTCCTCCTCCGTGAGCATATCCTCCGGACTGTAGCTAGTCATGCTGCTGGAGGCTTTCGCGCTCATTGGGGGTGGCGTGCTCGGCGTCGGTGATGGTGGCAGTGGTGGTAAAGGATTCTGCGACATACGAATACACGCGACGCGAAACGATTATTTCTGTCCATTTTTTCTCTTCGAATCATGCGACACACAGGATGGGCCGTGTACGCGAATGAAAAGAGCGAAACAAATATACTCACTTTTGCTAATTGAACTTTTCGCGGAGGAGGGGCCAGAAAGATGAAAAAGATGTCGAGATGATCTCGAAATATTTCTCCACTTATCGATAATAAGAGAAGAGAGATTTTATTTATTGCGAAGTAAATAAAATGACGAAGTATATAAATGAACCGAAAATGATATTTCCAGTTACTCGTATTCGATTATACAAGTTCTCATAATCGTCCCGCGGTCACGGAATAAATCATAGTTTTGCACATTTAGTGTACCCAAAGTGTTTTATAAATTGCTTTAATAGAGGGAAAATTGGAAATTTCTATGAATTTTATGCAGACTTTGGAATATTTACTCAGCATTTCGACGGGACATATTGCGCAATAACAGAATATTAATATCTGAAAATAGCGAGTGAAGATATTACTAAAGAGTTAATTTTCCAGCATAATTACGGGAAAATACGGATACCCAATGCGTGTGAATAAAAGTGTATTATCAGAAAAGGAAATGAGAAAGAACGCGTCATACGATAACACAGCATAAAGCGCGACGTTGTTCGGTTTAGTGTGACTACCTTTCGCACAGAGCGGACCACCTGCTCTAATAATCTAATCAAATAAAAATCCACGTGTGCACGCGGGTCCGTAATCAATAACCACGCCCTTTACATTATCGCTCTATAATCTGTGTGCGACCGCGAAAGACGTTTTCTTCGCTGGTAGTGATGATTGATAGCGCGTCCGTTGTTTCCTCGTTTTTCGGTCATTAATCCTCATAATTCACAGGATGAAGTATTTTGCGTCGTGCATATTGTGTGTAGGATAAACAGGCCCCTGTTGAAAACGAGATTAGGTCGGGGCGACGGTATACACGTGTACATATATACATATATACACACACATAACGGGGTACACGGCCATTAAAATATACTTTACGTGGCGACTGATCGTTATCGTAACGCACACTCGGGGAAGAATACGTGGCAGTAGCAACTATGGAGATAACAACTATACGAGTTTTACATGCTAAAAATGAATGTACATAGTTTAATCGACTAGTAGTCGTCGACTTTGTAGTCATCGCAATTAAACCTGAATAATTATGGGAATATAATATAATAATAAGTATGTAGATCTCTCTCTCTTGCAATCATTAAGCTTTAGTTGCGATAACTACAAAAAACATTGGATACTATTAAACTAATAATTCTGCATACAAAACTTACATAGTTATCATATTTTTTTTCTCTCTTATTTTTCTCTCGTATTTTTTTCTCTAAGTGCATATAAGTTAAACCATGAACGCATATACTGAGAGAAAAAATGTCTAAAAGTAAGAAATATTTATTTGATATATTGAAAAAGAAACACTTGAAAATTAATTTGTGAAATATAAAATTTATTCATAAAAATAAACTTTATTTCGCAGAAATAATCTATATATCTTACTAATAAATTTTCAAGTATTTTTTCTCAATGTAGATATTAATAATATTCACTTATATGCTAATACACACATTTTTACATTAAGGAAAAATTTCTTCTAAATGAGAAAATATATATTTCTCTAAAACATCATTGTTTTTCATAAAACCTACTGTTTTTTCTATTTAAACAAAATAATTTAGATTCAAGAAGTAAACATGTTATCAGTACCACCGAATAAATATTTTTTATTCTCCAGATATTTCTTCTCTCACTAGATTTCTAATCATGAACATTTTTATTGTTTTGATATTTAAATAATACGAATATTTATAAACTTTCAACACAGAATCTATCTATTCAATGCATGCATATATATAATATTTTATGTTGAAAGTTTAAAATATTCGTATTTAAAAATCAAAACAATAAGAGCGTCCGAGATTGGGTACGTGTTCAGGCATTGGCACTTTTGTCTGGACGCAAAACTCCATTCCCGCGATATGTAGGATCACTTTCTCCTCCTCATCCTCTTCTCTCTCTCTCTCTCTCTCTCATCTCCAATTTTTTCTCGTGGCATCGAGTGCCCCCGATCGATGCTGGCGATCCCTCCCGAAACGACAATCACGCTTATTACACGGTCTTGTGCACAGTCGCACGTCCATACGCGGTGGCGATTCAGGCCGAAAGGGAGGCGAGACCGTGTGGCAGGAAAATTGAAAAGTCAAGCGGTATAATATTCGAATTAACCTCGACGGATTTACATAAAACCCCGGCGGCGGCAACCTTGCGAAACCGGCCGCGATCATGACGGTCACGAGGCGGCGTTTGACACAGTTTCGCGCACAGTGTGGTATCCCCGGCACAAGGCATTAATGCCCCCTTTTCTCCCTCCCCCCTCCCTCCCTCCGATATACGTACAGGGCGCTTAATCGGCGCGCGGATCGCATGTCTGCCATACATTTTTGCGCGACTCACCTTGCAGATGTCCGTATTGGTGTAATACTTCTCCGGCGGCGGTGGTATGGGCGGCGGCGGGTTAGACGAGTATTCTTGGGCTGCCGGAATTGGCCGGGCGAGATTGATCGCCGAGTTGAGCAGGAGCGGAATAACCGGCTGCACCGGCTCGCCGATCCCTGTCCCGCGTGCGGATCGAGAAGAAAATTCGAGCGGGTTAAAAGTGCGAGAGCCACCCTTTCGCGGCGTTTCGCGTCGACGTTTTTCTCTGTCTTTTTCTTGAAAATGTATATACACGGAGAGAATTTTATTTACTATTGAAATATTGTGTATATACTGACTTATTATGCTATATTTTCTTTTAATATTATTACGTATATTTTTGTTTTATATATTCTTTTTTGTTATTATACATATTTTTATTGCAGAATTTATTATTATTATGTCGAGGAAAAATGCTTGAATTAGAAAAATAATTACTATAAATTGTGGTCGAGAGAATCACAGCGCGTATATTTATTAAATTGTACTGTAATATTAATGATAATAATTACACATATGTTACTACTACTATTTTCGTATTAGAACAGTAAAAGATATGGTTGGAAATTATAGTAACTTTTTTTGTAAAAAATAACTATAATTTTAAAGTTAGATCAATTTTCCTCTCGGTGTATATAGTTTGATCAAACGTTAGATATGAAATAATATTCATCAAGAGCCAATAAAACGTTTCAACCCTTTTCAGCGGCGAAAAGACGGCAAGGTTCATTTCGTTGTCATTGAAGAAGATTGAGACTACGATTGAAGCGTGAGAATTCTTAAAGAATCCGTTCAACGTTTTTTGGTCTTTGATTAAGCTATAATAGTCAATCACATTCGCAAACTGACAGCCTATGGTGGCTCTTCGATTTTCCTAAGTTATTTTATCGAGATAACTCGCGGCGAGGTGAACCGCGTTCACCCGACGTCCCCGACGGGCTAACTCGCGATTCAACCGGAGGGAGCACGTTCGTTTCGATGGATTACGTTGTCATCGAACCGTGTGTACCTCTCTAGCGAAACTCGTAGCTACCGTGAGTCGCGAGCAAGGCGTCGCGCGCGACAGTTGCGTTCGACACGATTGTGTGAAAAAGAGATCGTTAGGAGGAAGGGGAGAAGGGAGATGGGTACGGGCGCTAGATACGACGGACGAGCTGTCGCTGCCGATAGTTAATTAATCAAAGACCTCCGTCTAATTCGATTAAACAAGGTCGCGCCACGGCAAACAGTTTCTCTGTGGAAGCCCGTTGGTCGGCCGCTGTGTCCGGCGAGCTGTGCCAACTACGGAGGAGACGCAGCGGAATAGTTCGCCGGACTATTCCAACTACGTGGTGTGCGGCCACGGCGCAAACCAGGCGTAGAGATTCGAAACCTCGGCTTCTGCCCGGCCCCCGCGGGGACCTCGTCAGCCCGTGGGACGGACCGTTAGAATTCCCGCGATAACACGAAACTATCCCGGTGTCGATGCGGGAGCAGGTCGCGCGCCGGACGGCACGGAAGCGAAAACGTCTTCAGCGGAGATTGGATGTAACCGGTGCGCCGATCGACTTCTGACATCCGAGGGCTCTCGTGCCGGAGGAGCCGCGCGTGCAGATCGGTCGACTAATTCCGCGGGATCTGATTTGCGACGGGTAATCGATAATCGCGCTTAGCCCCGCGGGAGAAACGCGCCTCTGGAGCGTTATTGCGGTGATGAGGGAGGAAAGGCAAAGAGGTAGAGAGGGAAAAGGACAGAGACACAAAAGGTCTGTTCTTTTTAACTGAACTGGTGCAATAAGTTAGAGTGAAGCAAAATACATTTACACTTAATTAACTTAATATTGTATATCAGTATGCAGTTCAGCTAAAAAGAACGGACCTAAAGACAGAGATAGGGATAGGATAGACAGGGACACAGAGAAAGAGAAAGAGAGATTCATTATCTGAAAGGGAGAAAGGGAGAACGGAATGAGTTGATTCGTAGGGATAATAAAAGTAGGAATGGAGGCAAATAAATATGTGAGAATTGTATCACACAAGACTAGAAATACGAGATACAAATGTCGAACAAAATAGTAGGAGAGTGGAGTAGAGTCTGCTTTATTATACTGGAGGATAAATTTTTTGTTCGAGCGATACACTCAAGTACAATCAGAAAAATAAAATATAGACAGCCGTTACGCGAAAATACGATGTAAAGAAAATATGGATAAAGCGATGCCAAGAGAAAAAGAATGAGAACGAGACTATAAAAATTCCCTCGAAATGGTTTCGAAATTAAAAATAAATGCTCAAAATAGTGCCGAAAATAGAATAACATAATAACAGTAGGAAAATAAAAGTAGAGATCGAGAGTTAATAAAAGCAGACATGTGAAAATAATATCAAGAATTGTATTAAAAATAGAAAGAATATATATAACAATTCAGTACAATTAAAAATAAAGTGCGGACGATCGTCACGCGAAGATATAAGAACCTCTTCAGAACAGTTTCGTAGGAATTAAAAATGAATATGCGAAAGAACGCAGAAAATACAACAACATGATAATAAAGTACTAAAGTGCACGTGTTACGGAATTAACGAAGCGGACTTTCAAAGAGTTAGCTCTCTGCGATCCTGTCACGTCGACCTCGATGGTGGTATCTCGTTCCAGCCAATCTCACAAGCCACAAACATTTTCTTTTTATTTTCTTTATAAATTAATGCTAAACTCAGTATAAATATATTACGACACATGTGTGTCGTTGTATTGGTCCAAGTACTGAGATGCAAAAGTAAATGTATAGAGAAGACCGGAGCTAGTTGGCAAAACCGATTATTTTTAGTATTTTCTAACAAGTTACAAAATTGAGCAAGCAAGATTTTTAAACATGTCGAAGATGGCTTCAAAATCCCTGCTTGCTTGATTCTGAAATCTGTTAAAGAACAGTAGAAATAATTGATTTTGGCAACTTACTCCGGTGGCCAAATAGCCTTGGTCTCCTCTACTACGTGATGCTGTCGCGAAGTGACTTTTTGCGAATCGGGAAGTAGAGAGAGGAGGGTCGGAAGTAATGTTTCAACTCTTTTGCTACTAATTTTGTTCTTTAAAGATACAATGTTTTTTGAATTTTGTTTTAATTTTGTTTTTTGAAAGTACACTTTTTAAAAATTTTCACTTTATTAAGTACATTAATGTAATGTAGTTTTAGCCAAAAAAATTGAAAGTCTTGTATTTGGCGCCAAAGGGACGGATAGCTGATGTGTTGTGAATGCCAAAAAAGCTCATTCAACTTAACAGGTTATTATTAATGATAGGGAAAATACATGTGTGCTGTTGGTAGCAGAAGGGTTAATGCGAGCGATTAGGTTTCAAAGGTCGTGAAGGATGCCTGGTCTCGAAATTGCCGATCACCCTCGCAAGCGATCGGACTATAACGACCGGTGATTCCCCGATCGTTTTAACAGCCCCCTGGTCGCGCGAACGCGCCGGAGAATGTCGATCCGCGGCTACGACGGCTCGAAACGCAGTGCGCTCTTTTAATGTCGCTACCAACCGGCATAATCCGTGACGGGTTTGTGTAACTGCGGCGTCGTCGTGCTGTAGGCGGTCGAATGGTACTGCGTCGGAAGCGGAGGGCAAATTGGTCCCTTGTGCTCACCCTGCTCCTGCACGGAAACCTGCGATCGAATATCGAGCATTATCGTTAATGCAGCTGACATTTACGCACGCGTCGCGTGGCGATATATCGCCGTCGGTCGCTTCCACTTTCTCGTCCTCTTGTTCCTTCTCTCGTCTATCTATCTCATCTCTCTTTTTATGCAACGGGATTTCGATTGCTTTCCCTCTCTCTCTCTCTCTCTCTCTCTTTTCCTCTTTTTGAATATTTAAAACAAAATTGATCTATAAAATGTTCTATTGCGGAAAGCTCTGCAGATTTAAGCAGATTTTTGCGGCTATACAAAAAAAAGCAGTTGTACAGTTTGAGAGAAAAAAATATCTGAAAAATAAAAAAATATTTATTCAGTGGTTACAAGAGTAACATATTTACTTATATCTGAATTCTTTTATTTAAACAGAACGCTATTAAAAAAAAAATTTTTTAACAGCAATCTCTCTGTTAAGAAGATATATATGTTCTCAGTGTAAATATATGTATATCAGTACAAGTTAATATATTACTAGTACCATGAAATAACTGTCTCTCATTTTCAGATATTTTTTCTCTTGGTATATCAGTAGAAATGATTAGAAACGTTATAATTAGAGTGAATCTTCTTGACACAACAGCAATATTATTTGAGCTAATACAGCATTATTTTAATAACTCGAGCATTAGTTTCAATAATATTGCTACTGGATCGAGAAGGTTTCAGTTGTCGACTATTCTTGCACTCTCCTGAATGTATCTGACAATAATGGGGAGAGGAAGGAGGGTACATACTGTTTTTACCAATCATGATGCGAAAACACGAGTTGTCCAATTGTTCATTTTTAATTTTGTGTTATCTTTGGCGTTTGAACAGACAGTGCACTCGACAAATAACGCGTCCATCTATCTGTCTATCTATCTCACTCCTTAGATTATTCATAGCCGACGAAACAGAGAGACAACGCGCGCGCGCGGCAGGTCCCAGGAGGTCGCGCGCGTCTGGTTATTGTGCGACGCGACCGGCTGGCCTACTGACTGCCGCTACTACTGCTCTACTACCGCTCTACTACGTATCGTCGATCGCGTAATTTTATTTTACGGCACTCGGTACACCGTCGTACAATAAACAGACGGTGGGCGGACGGGACGGGACGCGTGGTAGAGAACGTGGACTTATTTTTATCATCGACGGCAAGCATAACGGCGGCAAACGACTCCCTCGCCGAGACCCCGTAAACTCGCCGCTGGCAGCTTGGAGTGATTCAAATTTCGATATTTCGAGAGCAGCTCTCTCTCTCTCTCTCTATTTATCTATCTATGTTGCTCTTTCGTGTGCCTCTCAAGTGTGTGAGTGAGGGTGGTATGAGTTTCTCGCGTTCATATCTTTAACTCGCGAAGTCTTGGGGCGTGTTTGATTAACTATTTAAGTTCACGTTCGGAAAGGACGAAGGTACATACGACATCTCGACTTCGCAGAATTTTTCAGAATTTTTTCAATAGTTAGAACGTGATTGCCTAGAGTTCCCCTAAGTCCTCAGAGTTAGGACAGAACATGAGGATTTCTGATTGGTTACTATGGAAATACTACATTGATAAAGGTTGATCATATTTTTAAGGGAAGTTTCACTGAAAATCCACATAGTGTATGTAACGTGGAATATATGGATTTCCAGGAGAATTTTCCGTGAAAAAGACGCTTTGGGACGCGAGTCTGGTAGATAGACTCCTCAATTCCGATAGCATGCGATACTCGGCGTTATAGACGCGCGTAATTATCGGTGTGCTTTCCCGGGCGTTCACGCGCGATATATTAGACTCATCTCAGGGATGTAAATAGCGCGCGAAGCGGCAACAAGAAAGCCGCAGGATAGGAACAAGATCTTGCCACGCGTTCTGGCTAATATATCACGCCGCTTTCACGGCCGGAAATTCGGCTTTTTGACCTTGCGCTGAGCACTTCGGCGAAAAGTCCCACGCGTCGAATTTCCCGAACACCGGTAAGGGAGAGCGCCGCTCCACCTTCCAACACCATCATCGTCGCTCAAAGTTCTTCTAGTCAGAGTTAGGACAAAGCATGACGATTCCTGATTAATTTGTCTTCTGTCCGCCATTTTCAGGGGTGACGTGAGTGAAAGTGAGAAAGAAACTCTGGTAGAATTGTGTATGCATGAAAGAGCGAGAGCAAGAGCGAGAGAGAGAGAGAGAGAGAGAGAGAGAGAGAGAGAGAGAGAGAGAGA